AATCACGACTGGTGAAAGACTGTCTAGAAGACCTGACAGAGCTAAGTAGTCAAAATAAGGTGACCTTAGCCTGGGTTCCAGGCCATGAGGGATATCAGGGCAACGAAAAGGCCGACGAATTAGCCCGAGAAGGCTCAGATAAGGCCATGACAGGCCCTGAACCCTTTTGTGGAGTCGCTAAGGCACTGTGCAAGGCATCCATTAAACAATGGATGCAAAAAGAGTCTCAGGAATGGTGGAACAACTATCCAAGACTGAGACAGGCCAAACAGTTCATCAAGGAACCATCGGCCAAGTTTACGAAAGACCTACTGGATCAAAAACGTCAAATCAAATTGTAGGTACTTAGTAGATACTACTGAACTCTTACTGTTGTTATGGTACAGTGATTGGGAGATTGAAAGCAAATCGGACGATAAGATTTTTGTTAAAATATCCAAATCATATCAGATAAAGTAGGTACCTACCTAAATTGTATTTCCATTATTTTGAAGATTGTATTTAATTTACATTAATTTAAACTTATTTTTAAATTTATAAAAAGTAATCGGTGCTCAATTTGTAATAACTCTAGCACTTCTTTCACGGCATATTTTTATTTTTCAAATGGCTATGAAATATCTACATTATAAAAATAATGTAAAAAAAATCTGATGTGCCCAATACATGACTTTCCTATCTAGTTATTATAGGCTTTTTCCGGTTATTTTGTACAACCTATTGCAGCACCGCTATAAATGTTTAAAGGATAAACTAAATATATACATTTTTCTCATACATTTACCTTGAAACATTTTTCGATAGATATTCATTGAAAACGAAAATACTGAAAAATTTTAATTTAGCACTTTTCCTACAATTTTTTCCATTACGGCTCATTTTAGAAAAATCATGTAAAACAAAAATTATAGAGATCGATATCGCAAACAACTTTCAGTTCAACAATTTTCATAAAAATCAGAATTTTGCACATTTTGTCGTTTCCTCGAATACGGACCATTTCAAGAAATTTTGACATAAAGCAAAAATTATTGATAATAATATTAGAAGTAACTTTTATTTGAACGATTTCCTTCTCCAAACATAAATAACAGATATATTCCATAAAATATAAAAACGGCCTCCCATAAAGTACCCCCCCCCCCCCCCACCCCCCCAGATGTTCCGACTTTGTCTAAAATCTAACCATTTCACGTCAGGCCGAAATAAACCTTAAGTTTAAAATTTATTGTTTTTTTTCTTTATCCGTTTTTGAGTTTTTTTCAAAATTCGAAATTTACACATTTTCTCAAATATCTCGAATACGGTATATTTTAGAGAAATTATGTATAAAATAAAAATTATAGAGAATTATATTACAAAGACTTTTATTTGAACAATTTTTATAAAAAATTATTTTTTTTAGATTTTGTCAAATTTCTCGAATACGGACCATTTTAGGAAAATTTTGTATTTTACAAAAATTATAGACAATTAAATTAGAAGTAACTTTTATTGAAGAATTTTCTTCTCCAAACGTAAATAACAGATATGTTCCATAAAATATAAAAATGACCACCTATAAAGTACCTCCCAGATGTTCCGACTCTGCCCAAAATCTAATCAGCTCATTGGACGCTAAAACAAAGCTTAAGTTTAAAATTTGGTGTTTTTCTGTGTATCGGTTCATGAGTTATGCGTTACACACACACACACACACACACACACACACACACACACACACACACACACACCACACCACACCACACACACACACACACACACACACCACACCACACCACACACACACACACACACACACACTCACACTCACACACACACACACACACTCACACACACACACACACACACACACACACACACACACACACACACACACACACACACACACACACACACACACACACACACACACACACACACACACACACACACACACACACACACACACACACACCACACACACACACACACACACACACACACACACACACACACACACACACACACACACACACACACACACACACACACACACACACACACACACACACACACACACACACACACACACACACACACACACACACACACACACACACACACACACACACACACACACACACACACACACACACACACACACACACACACACACACACACACACACACACACACACACACACACACACACACACACACACACACACACACACACACACACACACACACACACACACACACACACACACACACACACACACACACACACACACACACACACACACACACACACACACACACACACACACACACACACACACACACACACACACACACACACACACACACACACACACACACACACACACACACACACACACACACACACACACACACACACACACACACACACACACACACACACACACACACACACACACACACACACACACACACACACACACACACACACACACACACACACACACACACACACACACACACACACACACACACACACACACACACACACACACACACACACACACACACACACACACACACACACACACACACACACACACACACACACACACACACACACACACACACACACACACACACACACACACACACACACACACACACACACACACACACACACACACACACACACACACACACACACACACACACACACACACACACACACACACACACACACACACACACACACACACACACACACACACACACACACACACACACACACACACACACACACACACACACACACACACACACACACACACACACACACACACACACACACACACACACACACACACACACACACACACACACACACACACACACACACACACACACACACACACACACACACACACACACACACACACACACACACACACAATCGCGAAAATAGTCAAAACGGATTCAGGGGACCTCAAAACGTAAAAATCCTTCGAAAATTCGAGATCGAAAAAAATCATGATTCCTATACTTTCCTTATATCTGTATACAGATAGGAAAGTAAAAATACTAAATATTTTGTTTTTTCAGGCTTATAACTCGAAAATTTCAATAGATTCACTACACTGCAGGCAATTCTCTTTACTATTCTTCGTAATACGAGTTGCCTATTGAAAACCCGACCAGTTATATGAGAATACATCGTTGCCAAATCTAAATATTTTATGGATTTAGATCCATGAAATTTAAAATCCTTTATATTTTAATACATTAAAAAATATGGTATTTTACATACAGTTGAAACTTAAAAACGACCACATAAAAATTATCACGTTTCCGTGGTTACAAAGGTCAAAGTAATATCGATCCGAATTTTTATTTGATATTTACAGCAATAAATCATAATGCAACAAAATTTTCGTTATTGGCATTTTTGTTTTGTATAGTTTAAAAAAATATTGTTTATATTTGGTGGCGAAATCAGTGTTTTACGACGCATTCGATTAAATTGGCACAAAAGTTACATCATAGTAATGCAGCGTCCCAGTAAACCACAAATTGTCGGCATTCGCTCGGTCTGATACCGGCATGTACGGGAAGCCGAATACTCGGATTGCCGTTGTCGGGTTTGCTTTTGATCCGGGAGGACCGTACCATTTGACGTAATTTAGAAGTAGAAATCACATGTGGTCCACATTTGGCTTTGCAGACATGGGAGGCATCCTTACGGGCCGAACGCGGTGAATATTTGGGTAGCCGGGCATGGGAGGCATCCTTACAGGCCGAACTATATATGAATATATGAACGCGGCTACAATATAATGGGCTGCCGACATTCGGCTGGACGGACTTGCCCTACCTATATGGCGAAGCTGCACCCGTATATCGGGCCGAATGCGGCATCAGGCAAGCCTCATTCGGCCCAATTAAGGTGCCGATTAACTGTGTTTATTGGGGTATAACTTAAAAACATTACATTTGACGTGTTTCTCAGAAAACTGACAAGTTCGCAAAGAACACAGTTAATCGGCTCCGTAACTGCAGCTTCGTCATATAGGTAGGGCATGTCCGCCCAGCCGAATGTCGGCAGACCAATAAATTGTAGCCGCGTTCAGATATCTACATACAGTTCGGCACGTAAGAATGCTTCCCATGCCAGGCTAGCCAAATATTCACCGCGTTCGGCCCGTAAGGATGCCTCCCATGTCTGCAAAGCCAAATATGGACCACATGTTGTTTCTACTTCTAAATTATGTCAAATGGTACGGTATTCCCTGCTCAGAAACAACCCCGACAACGGCAATCCGAGTACTCGACTTCCCGTACATGCCGGTGTCAAGGCCGAGGGAATGCCGACTATTTGTGGTTTACTGAGTTGTCGAAAGAATCATGTGGGATAGGGGTATATTGTTGAATACTGTGTAGGTTAGGTAGGTATATTTTGTTTTATTAGCATTAAAAGTTATATTTTTGTGACGAGTTTGTAAGTAGTCTGTAGGTAACACGGTAACAGTAATGTCTAGTCTATATCAGCTATGTTGTGAACAATGTTATTGAATAATAATTGAGACAATTCACCTCTCATGCAGGAAAAATTAATCCGATGTATAAACACTATAAACACGAAATACTAAACTAAAATATAACGATGTCTTCTATCTTCTAGAGTCTAAAAGAATTAGTTGAAACTGTTTTTATTTTGTTACTAACGTAAATTCGTAAATAAGGTAGGTATCTTTAAGTTATTAATTTTTAGTGTTTTTCGATGCATAAAAAATAAAAATTGTATGTTTATGCAATTATCAAGAATACTTCGTATATCTGACAACGCTGTTGGCGAATGCGAATGTGGTGTTGAAAAACCGACTAGAGCGAGAGCCAGTGTCTGTCGGGTGTGTTATAAATCTTTTGTGCTCATGCAGTTTGCTAATTTTGAATACACAAATTTAGTGATACTGTTGCGGTGTTTCTAGTTATTAGTTATAGGTTGTATCGTGACAACTATGTCGACAGTTTTATTAGCTGCTATAGCTGTCATAATATGTATTCTTTTCCGAATTTTAAATGTAAATAGTGAACCTCAAAAGCCTTCGGTACTGTGCTGTGATAACAAGTTTCTTGATAATATTCTCAAAATTGCACCAGTCCTCAATGAACAGTAAGTTTCTACCTACATTTTCTTACTTTTATTTACAAAAAGAAGTTATACAATGCCCTAAACAGTATTGATTTTTAACTAGATACTTAGTACCTATTTGAAAAATTTCTTTTTGTGTTTTTCTAATGCTATTTTTACACAAATGAGTAATTAATTCTTAAATTTTTATCCTAGATTGTAATTCAATTATTGTATTTTTCTGTGAATTCTAAAAACGTGATCAATTTTAAAGGGATTAAAAAAGATTTCATAATAATTTTAAATAGGTACCTACCTCCGTACCTACACTGCAAAATTTTGATTGATATCAACTACAGTACTGTGTCCATTACCTATAAAGTATAACTGTATTCTAATATATTTTTGTTTTATATATCCAAGTCTAATAATATTATAAATGTAAAATATCATATCTCTACCCACCACCTACCCCACACAAATCTGCAAATGGGTTAGAAGCTCCCTTGGAAGGCTGTCGTCATGGTCATACCAATGATCAATCAAGTCTTTGTCTGCATTTTACCAAGCAAGTGATTGCAAAGCTTAGCTCCAATCCTACTAATTACTAATGTACATAACTGTCCAGAATTATAATATCCTAAGGGCCGATCTTTTCACCTCTCTCAACTTTAATCAGAGGTGAAAAGACTGGCCCTAACTCATTAAAATCTGATCATAATCTTAACTGGCTCTCCATGCTTATATTGCTTGAGTTTATACAGGATGTTAGTTATTCGACCGACAATGCTATACCACAGAGAGGTCTCGTTAGTTGATCAATTTTTCTATAGGCACATGAACCCTTAAAGGGCTTACCTAGTTACTGAGATACAGGGTGTTGACACAATTGACATATCCATTGTTCAAAATAAATTACAGGCACTAGGTTTTAGGGTCATAATTTTAAACTGGCTAAGTTCTTATTTAGATTCACGTGTAAAAGTGGGCTACTGTAAATCAGAATTGAAAAGTCTAACACAAGGAGTACCACAAGGCTCAGTTTTCGGACAACTAATATTTTTGTTATATGTAAATGTTCTTCCTCAACATGTGTCTGCAGATTATAACATAATCTATGCTTCTCCAGATGAGCTGCAGCAGAAGCTTCACTTAGTAGCTTCAGATTTACAACTTGGTGTAATAAAAATGCCTTAATCTTAAATTCTAATAAAACAGTTGCTCTTCAGTTTTTTCAAGGAATAGAATTTATGATATTTGTGTAAAGGTAAATTGCAATGATGTCTACATGTCACAGAAAACAAAATTTCTGGGGGTACGGCTAGATAGTGATATGAGTTGGGAATCAAATATTAATTACATCTGTAAAAAGGTTAATAGCAGATATTTACATTAAACCAACTTCTACAGATATATTATGCAATTGTATATTCCCACATATCATACAATATTCATGCTGCTACAAAAGTATTTATTGCACAAAAAAGAGCAATTAGACTTATATTCACTCTGGAATCAAGACAAACATGCAGGGATCATTTTATTAAATACCACATGCTCACTCTACCCACAATATATATTTATAACACAATCCTATATACTTACAAAAAAAAATTAAGCTAAATTTTTCAGGAACAATGATTGTCATAACTATCCCACTCGTAATGGCAATATGTTATGTACAATTAGGCATGTATCTGCTCTCTATGAACATAGTCTGTAGTATGCAGGAATTCAATTATTTAATAAACTGCCAGTTGATATTAAAAACATAAAATCCACTAACAGCTTTAAACAACCATTAAAAAAAATTTTAGTAACAAAATGTTTTTATAATATTAAGGATTATTACTAGGTAACATAATATATATGTATGTGTGTATATGTGTATGTATTTATATGTAGATTTTAAATTGTGTTTTGTCCACTACACGTACCTTGATATATCCTACATCATTGTATGTATGTCTATTGTCTATTACATATGCTTAATTTAAAAGTTTCACGTCAAGCCTCAAGATACACTGACTCATTTTACTTACCAAAACCTCGTACTAATATTTTAAAGAACTCACTGTTGTATAATATGTGTAATAATTATAATCAGATAAGTCAGGAATTGGATATATTCCACATTAGTATTCTGGATATCAAAAGGCATTATTTAGGATAACCATCATTGTACTTCATTTCCTGTAATATTTTCCATTTTTGTATGTTTCGTCTAAATATGTTTGTCATATTTTCCTATTCTGTAATTGGGTATTACTTGTAGAATAGTGTATTTAATAAATAAATAAAAAGGACCAATAAAGATTTATTATTTAAGTATTATTATTATTATTAAAGTTTGAAATTAAAATTTAAAACTTTTTTTCAAATTTGTAACCAATTTGGTCTTTAAGAAAATATTCTGACATAGGTAAACTAACTTTTAAAAAATGTACCTACTGTTGTAAACATTTGCCTCTAAACATAAGTCTGCATGTATTTAGATCAGTTGTAACATTCCAATATTTCTAAATTAAATTCTAATCTTCTATGCATGTGTCAAATTTTTAATAGTTCATATATTTGTCAATATCTTGGTAGGTCAACTTTGACAAAAATATTTGAAGACGTTTTTCATTTATAGCAAATTTTTAATTTGGATTTAAAAATCACAGAAGCCACAAATGGCTTTGTACACCTTTTTACTTGAGATATGTTATGAAGATAGCTATTTTCTTTATGCTTGATACCATGCTGGAGTTTGTCGAGCCGTCTGAGGGGGTGCAATTGGGGGTGAAATTAAACAAAAAATCATAGAAGCCACTACTGGCTTTGTACACCTTTCTGCTTGGGATATGTTATGTAGTTTGCTCTTTTCTTCATCCCTGATAGATTTTTTTTTAATTTCATCCCCAATTGCACCCCCTCAGACGGCTCGACAAACTCCAGCATGCTATCAGGGATGAAGAAAAGAGCAAACTACATAACATATCCCAAGCAGAAAGGTGTACAAAGCCAGTAGTGGCTTCTATGATTTTTTTATTTCACCCCCAATTGCACCCCTTAGAGAGCTCGACAAACTCCAGCATGCTATCAGTGATGAAGAAAAGAGTAAACTACATAACATATCTCAAGTAGAAAGGTGTACAAAGCTATTTGTGGTTTCTGTGATTTTTTGTTTAATTTCACCCCCAATTGCACCCCCTCAGACGGCTCGACAAACTCCAGCATGCTATCAGGGATGAAGAAAAGAGCAAACTACATAACATATCCCAAGCAGAAAGGTGTACAAAGCCAGTTGTGGCTTCTATGATTTTTTGTTTAATTTCACCCCCAATTGCAACCCCTCAGACGGCTCGACAAACTCCAGCATGGTATCTGGAACGAAGAAAGGGCAAACTACATATCATAGCGCATACAGAAAGGTGTACAAAGCCATTTGTGGCTTCTTTAATTTTTTTTTCACCCCAATTGCACCCCCTCAGACGGCTCGACAAACTCCAACACGGTATCTGGGATGAAGAAAAGAGCCAACTAGATAACATATCGCCAGCAGAAATGTGTACAAAGCTATTTGTGGCTTCTGTGATTTTTTTAATTTCATCCCCAATTGCACCCCCTCAGACGGCTCGACCAACTCCAGCATGCTATCAGGGATGAAGAAAAGAGCAAACTACATAACATATCCCAAAGAAAGGTGTACAAAGACATTTGTGGCTTCTATGATTTTTTGTTTAATTTCACCCCCAATTGCACCCCCTCAGACGGCCCGACAAACTCCAGCATGGTATCAGGCATAAAGAAAATAGCTATCTTCATAACACATCTCAAGTAAAAAGGTGTACAAAGCCATTTGTGGCTTCTGTGATTTTTTTTTAATTTCATCTCCAATTGCACCCCCTCAGACGGCTCGACAAACTCCAGCATGGTATCTGGGAGAAAGAAAAGAGCAAATTACATAACATATCGCAAGCAGAAAGGTGTACAAATCCATTTGTGGCGTCTATGATTTTTTTTAAAATTTCATCCCCAATTGCACTCCCTCAGACGACTCGACAAACTCCAGCATGGTATCTGGGATAAAGAAAAGAGCAAACTACATAACATATAGCTTGCAGAAAGGTGTACAAAGCCATTTGTGGCTTCTATGATTTTTTTTATTTCACCCCCAATTGCACCCCCTCAGACGGCTCGACAAACTCCAGCATGCTATCATGGATGAAAAAAAGAGAAAATTACATAACATATCCCAAGCAGAAAGGTGTACAAAGCTATTTGTGGCTTTTATGTTTTTTTTTTAATTTCATCCCCAATTGCACCCCCTCAGACGGCTCGACAAACTCCAGCATGGTATCAGGGATGAAGAAAAGAGTAAACTACATAACATATCCCAAGCAGAAAGGTGTACAGAGCCATTTGTGGCTTCTATGATTTTTTTTTAAATTTCACCCCCAATTGCACCCCCTGAGACAAAGCAAAAGTTAATTGCGGGTATGGTTGCTGTGTATTGAAACCTCCCCAATTGAAATCTACAAATGAAAAGCCTCTACAGGTAATTTGAACCAAGTTATATGACTATTACGATAGAGTTATATTTTTCTCAGTGTACATTTGTGGATGTGGATAACTTCACACCCGTAATTTTTTCAACAATAAAATAATTATTTTTTATCATTATGATAGATTAAGGCAAATACTATATGTCTAGACTCCTTTTGGAATATAGGTAACTAACCTACCAATAAAAAGAAATTTGAGAATGATCACCTACTCCCCGGTAGAAATAAGATTCAAACCTAAATTACATCAAGCACACTTATAAACAGTCAGGTAGTCTGATGAAAATTTATTTGACCAGTCTCAAGACAAAAAACCATACCATATTTTTAGGCTCTAAAAATGTTTTAAAATTTTTCAAAAAATAAAATGACATTTTTAAAAAATACAGAATGCTTTGCTAATTTCGAATAAAGCCAGAGCACCTCAGTTCTAAAAACAACTAAGTCGGTATGCCACATTTTATCAAAATGAAAACCAACAAAATACTCTTA